GGTTTCTTCAATATTATGGGCAGCTTCTTAGTTCTTTGTAATTGATGAATTATTTTGCTTTACATGTGCTGTGCTTAATATTTCCAAGGAAGCACTTCCTGATGTTAAGGATGTCTGCACCATCTCCCCTAGACATCATACTAATCACGTTGACCATCCATCACTCTCTCCTCTCCCTAAGGTAAGCGTGTGAGAATTTTATTTTTCTTACTTCAACAACGTGGGGAGGAGATTTTTGAACATCTGATCTTTAGGATATAGTTGTTTAATGTCTTGATTAGTTAGTGGTACATGTGCGAGAATTCAAGATTTGTAAAGTTAGAAATTTATTTGCTTCACATCAATATTAATGGTTTTCAGTCTAGCACAGTGATGAGTCCAATAAACCAGTTTCAATTTTGTGCCTCTGCGTAGTAGAATCTATTCTCTAGAGATAACTTGTTTTGGTAATTTTTGCTTGCATATATTTGCAGAAGTGTTGGTTTGTGGATACATATTTGCTAATTATATTTTGTAAATTTAGCTGATCGAAAGAAAAAACATGACAGGTTACCCAGAACATTCCAGTGCCTTACAATGAGGATTGTGTCCCAGTAGTTGATAAAAGTGTGGATATAGCATGGAAAATGGTGGCAGAAAAAAACATGCTTGCCTCTTCTAAAGGTATATGTGTGATATTTCTCAATAACTCATTTTTATTTTATTTGATAACTCAATAACACTCATGTTCCATGCTTTTTGAAAAGAGAAAATAAATGTAGTGGATAACTTGCTTGTTATTCTTTTGATCTCTTTCTACTATGTTAGTAGATGTTAATAATTATGTTCACCGACTATTTCTTGTTATTGTTGAAAAAAAAAATAATGAAATATTTATCTGAATATTCGTTTTTTTTTAAATTATAAATGTTTTTGATGTGCATTTGCATATAAAAGAAAGGTTAAAACACATTTCTAATCCATATATTGTAACATTATAAAGTTTCTACATTTATATATTTTTTGTTAATGACTTAATTAAGGCACCCATTGGATCCAAAAAAAAATCAAGGCACCCGATGTTAAAAAATTGAAACTGTTTAGTTTCTTACATAAAAAAACTGGAGCGTAATCTAAGAATCTACTATTTCAAATATTGATGTGTCTCCAAGATATCGGGAAAGGGAAAAAAAATTATAAAGAACCAGACATGCAACGAGAAAGTCAACTAAGATATTATTCAATATTGATATGATCATAATATTTGAGCGTAAATTAACTTATTCGAGGGCATTTTCTTAGTATCTCAACGGTTTGACTTTTGGTTGTTTGCGAGCTGTTTGGAGAAAGTAGTTTTCTGCTTTTGTTTTATTAATTATCTTTAACTCTTGTGATTGACTGGTAAAAGATTAGGGTTATTAAGTTTACTATCCACAAGTTTGAATTTTTGGAATGAAAAATAATTAAGTCATCATAGAAATAAACTAGAAAAGTAAGAGAACAATTCCAAAAGAAAACATAACTCAAACATGTTTATTTTTTCCTTTTTCCTTTACCTCTACTGCTGCATAGAAGTATTAAGTTAATTATTATCTTTTGATAATCAAACAAGAAAATTTTCTTACAATTGGTTGCCGCAATAGATTTTGCTATGGGTGATTCCGGCGAAGCCCCTGCGGAGGGTATTAAATCTAAGGTTGTGACTAGTATTATGGCCTTACTCATGGGAATTTCTGCTGCCGTGAGGTTGGCTCGCGCCATGCCTAAGAAGCTCACCAATCCCTCCATATCCTCCGAACCAGTTTACTGTGTCAATGATGACGACTCGATGTTCAAGGGGCAGCCACAGCCACCTTTATTTGAACCCTTGCCTGATTACATGTCTACCGTGAAACGCATGGCTGAATTAGAGGAGAGAGTCAATGTCTTGTGCATGAAACCTGCTGACATGCCTCGCGAGAAAGAGGAGCTACTCAATGCTACACTAAGCCGCGTTGAAGCCCTTGAAAAGGAGCTCATCGTTTCCAAAAAGGTATACCTATTTTTGTACTCTACGTAGGATTCTTCTTATCTCTCTCCTTTTTACCGTTAGTAGAAGCTCTCACTGACGTTTTGATACCATCTTAATATTTAACCTTGTTAAGTCTTTTGATCTTTTTAACATGCATCAATTAGTAGAAGTTTCTACTCACTTTCTGACGTGGCACTTTTATTGGCTCTAAAATTTTAGTGGATCCAATCCACTTTATCTATAAAATTCACTATTGTTCTAGCATTATTTGTACTGATTAGTAGTCTTTACGTAGGTTCTGGAGGAAACACTGGCTAGACAACAAGAGATTTTTGCATATATCGAGAAGAGGAGGAAGAGGAAGAAGCTGGTAACTTACTTAGACCAACCATAAATTTCATTGTCCTCGATCATATTGTTCTGCTGCGTGAGCATTAAGCAATAGATCAATTTTAGTGGATTGACTTGCATGAATTTGGCTTGATTTCATGCAGATATCATTCCGCTGGTGAAGGGATGAAAATGGCAGACGTCCCGCAGATGCTCAGCCACGAGCGGTGGGGCGATCGTCCTCCTGAACACCCATCTGACCTCCCTGTGTTCGAACCAGAAATGTAAAGTTGAGAACTACTTCTGGTCAGAGCGTTGTTTAATATACAAATCTATATACACTATATATATTTATTATTTCTGATGTAAAACTGAGTTCTAGGTATAACAAGTAAGGCCATCCTTAAAATGCGATGGGATGGGATGTAAAAATTCATATAAAGTTCTGCAACAAAATGCAATCTTACACGTGTGTGTTTTACAAAAGCAAACGAGACTTGAAAATGGGAAATAATACAACAACCATAAAAGCACTTATTTGTAGAGCTCACTCCACCAAACACCATTATTGACAATATTCCTCTCTTTAAACTGGACTGAGAACGAACACAGCTATACAAAACGAGCAGCCAAGAAGAAACCAATAACAATATTAAGAATTAGGTCACTTTTCTCTGGGTCTCAATTAGCTCTCTGCTGGCTGGAGAAAATTTTCTTTTTTGGTCCTCCATTGGGCTCTCTCTCAATCATAACCATGAATGAATGAAGCGCAGGAAAGAGGCATAAGGCATAGCCCTCTGCTCCTAAGATCTAGCCTTGGTTTTGTTCCATCTTCCTGGATTGAACCCTGCAAATTTTCCAGTTTTAAATCTATGGATTAGGGTTTGTTTGGCAGCAACTAGAAACACAAACACAATCTATTTTGTAATATTGTGTTAACAGTAAAACTAATTTGGCAGTTTCTAGAAGACAAAACATATAAGACAAAATACTTTGACTGTCCATCAAGAGGTAGGAGCTCCCCTAATTACATAGCTCATTTCTGTTAACTATTAAATAAATACATACATCCATATTTATTATTCTTCTATATATAAGCATTTTTTTTTTCTTCTGAAAGAACTTGATCTTCAATAAACAGGTCAAAAAAAATAGGGGTTAATATTAAAGGTACCAAGAGAATTAAAGAAGTTAATGGGTAAAAAATATGTCATCTCTTACAGACTGCAGTTTTTGGTAGGGTTTGCTCTGAGAGGACGCCAAATAAGGCATGCTTAAAGTCTGCACAGCTTATAATAAAATTGGTCAGAAACAATATTATATATATAAAATAATGTAATTAAAAATTCTTCTTAATGAGTTGATAGAGAATTAAATCACCTCAATTTGGTCGTGAAGGAACTGAATGTAGCCAATTGCTTCGGATAGTACAGAGGAAGTATCAGTCTGAGAAAGAGAGTTTTTTTGTTTTTTATTTTTATTTTCCAAATAAGATGAAATGGTAAGAAATTACTCAAACAAAGTATGGGCAAATGGGGTTTAATTTAAAGTATTGAAAGAGCTGAGTGGGTTCTGAATCTGATAAAGGAAAGTTAACACATATAATGGTATAAGAAAGAGTTTCTATATATATAATATACCTTACCAAAAGGTGCAACCAGCCTTTGAAGGGCTGAAATCCTGTCTCCCAGTTTCTCTTTTCTCACCTGCAGAGTTATACAAAATTTAATTTACCCACACGATCTGCCCAGAAACTAATTAATTATACTTTATTAAAAAGAAATTTGCTAATTGGATTCTGAACCTATACCTTTAATGGTGGGCATGAAGATCTCGAGGTGGAACATGATTTCTTAGATTCTGAAATGGACTTTTTAGGCACAGACAAGCTGTTAACTGGTCTCTTTGCTCTTGCAACACTTGAAGAAGATGTCTGTAAAATTTGGAGTGTAAAAGATGATCAGTAGCGTAGCGAAATATAGTTAGTGAGGAGAAATTATTCGAGAAATGAAAAAATTAACTGTTATAATCTAATGGTTAGGAGAGGGACAGTCACGTTGAATAATTTTGTGGTGTAATGCAGGTAAGATAATATATTATTTTTCCCGGGTCAAAGCATGTATGAACAAAAAGGAGAAATGAAAAGGGAAAGGGTCATTTTTCAAGGCCAATGATTCCTAAATGAGAGGAAAAAGCATAGTGAAAGTAAAATTACGTAGGGCTTTGGATGCTATATCTAGTTGAATAATTATATCATTGGTTTCAAGGGTTAGAAACAAAGCTGGTTAATTATATTGGGATTTTAAAAGGAAGAATAGAAATTAGAAGAAGATAAAAAAGATACAAACTTTGTTGGAGCTGTTTGATGGGCTGTTATTATTTATTGAATCTTGCAGATGATGATCGTGATGCTGATGGCCATAGCCAAATAAAGCTCCATTTTTGTGAAATCCAGCACTACAATAATTGGGGGCTGAGAGCAACTCCATATGATGATCTGCAGCCTGTAAATTGTAGCCCATAGAACTTGAAAATGATGAAGAAGACAGCAAATCCAACGTGGAAGTAGTAGTGCTATTATTCCTTGAACTACTCGAAAAAACATGGCTGTAATAATTTGTGTTAGATCCAGCTCCCATCCCTTGGAAACCTCCATAGCTTGCACTTGCAGGAGATTGAAGAGCAGAAGAATAAAGAGTTGAAAGCTGCTGTTCATTATTGTGTTGTTGGTAATTATTTGATGAGAAATTGAACCATAGATTCTCATTCTCCCTTGAACATGGTAAGCCTTGATCCCCCAAATAAGGGTTGTAGGAATTCCCTTCCCTGCATGACCGTATTGAGAGAAAAGTAATTTATAATAAACCAAAATTCCAGATTTATGAATCAACATAAACATGGAAACCATCTCATCCCTTGCTCAAAAATCAGTTTACAGATACAAAATCAAATAAACAAAAAGAAAAAAAAAAGGCCATTGCTCTCTTTACTTACTTAAGATTGGAGGTTGGAATTTTCTCATTCAGTATTGAACAACTCAAATAGAATCTTCGAACAGAGAATATTATACTAAAGATTAAATCTCGATAACATTTTTGCATGCAAAAGATGAAAAAATGGGATAGTGATTTGTGCTTACAGAATGATGTTGGGGCTGCACTCATGAGTGATGGGAGCTGTTCTTGGAGCTGATACCAGAGAAGAATACCCAACAAATAGTTCTTGGAGCTGACGTTGGAGATTAGCAGACTCCATGATATGACCTAAAAAGAAAGATTTTGAAAAACTACACACAGAAATTATTAAAGGGGATGGCTTTTGATCTTTTTCAACTTTATAAGTACTGTTGTTTGCCTTCTTGACCCTTCCAATTTCAAAGCTATTCAGATGGAAAGAAGTTCTTCAGACCATATGCTCAACAAAAAAAAGTTAATAAGATCATGGAGAATAATTTGAAGACTTGTGAAAGACCAAAAACCTAAAATGGTTTTAATGAGATGACTTTGGGCGGTCGGTTTGTTTATTATTAAAGTTATTGCCTTTACTCTCTCCCTCTCTTCGCATTTCCAGCCTTCTATATATATATATATTTTAAGAGTGAGAGAAACTTTGGTTTATTAATTATTCAGAGAAAAAACTTTATGGCAGCTTCCTTAAGTTGCTTTTTTCCAGAAACCCTAGCTACCCTCTATCTTGGCTGCTTTCAATATATCATGTCAGAAAGCAATATTATTTGCCCTTTAACCCTTAATTAAAAAGACTTGATTTTGATTACTGGGTCCTCAAGATTAGAAGCAAAACTTTTCTTTTAACTCTACTTTTTCTTTTCTTTTTTTGGTTTTTTTTATTGTTGCCCTTTTTCCCCACAATCAAAACTGGCAAGTTATTGGTTCAC